TTAGCAATAATGTTCGTAGAAATTCAGACAAAGACCTGAGAAACATGACAAAATACAACAATGCAACCCATTCAATATTATTGTACTGTGAGATATGATATCAGATATGATAGTTATCTATTTAAGAAAGAGGGGGGGGGCAGGAGGGGGAAGAGAATAAAGATATGATGCACCAATGCAGACCAGTTCATTGCTATTAAGAAGTTGGATATGGTTATTGTCCGTGAGAGGGGGGCAGAGAGTTCAGGAGCCTCACAGCCTGTGGATACAGGCTGTTGGCCAGTCTGGATGTTCTGGCCTGTATAGACCTGTACCTTCTCCCTGAGGGCAGCAGATGGAAAAGGTGGCGCGCAGGGTGATGTTGGTCCCGCAGGATACTGTGCACCCTCCTCAGACAGCGAGTGGGGAAGATATTACTGATCTCTGGCAGACTTGTTCCAATAATTCTGCCAGCTTCTTTCACCACCCGCTGGAGTGCTTGCTGATCGGCCTTGGTGCAGCTGGGGAACCATACTAGAAATCCATACGTCAGAACGCTGCTGATGGCACAGTTGTAGAAGTTCAACATCAGAGATCTGGGAATGTGTGCGCTCCGCAGTCTCCTCAGGTAGTAGAGGCGCTGTTGGGCCTTCCGTGCAACTGAGGTGATATGGTTGCCCCAGGACAGGTCCTCGGTCACAGTTACCCCCAAGAATTTAAAACTGCTCACCCTCTCCACCGCCTCACTGCCAATGAAGAGAGGCAGATGGTTGTTATGACCCCTCTTCCGGAAATCTACAATGATCTCCTTGGTCTTTTTGGTGTTTAAGACCAAGTTATTGTCGTGGCACCATGACTCTAGTTGTTGCACCTCTGTCCTATAGTTTGTCTCATCATTGTTGGATATAAGTCCGAGCACTGTAGTGTCATCTGCAAACTTAACAATGAGATTGGACGCGCAGGAGGAAATACAGTCATGGGTGAAGAGAGTGTATAGCAGAGGGCTCAGAACACACCCCTGAGGGGCACCGGTGTTGACCACAAGGGTGGAGGAGGTGTTCTTACCCACTCTGACACTCTGTCTACGGTTAGTGAGGAAGTCCACAATCCAGTTGCACAGAGAGGAGTTAAGTCCCAGTTGGTGGAGTTTGGGACGGAGTTTGTATGGCCGGATGGTATTAAAAGCCGAGCTGTAGTCTACAAAGAGGAGCCGTGCATAGGTGTTCCTGTGTTCCAAGTGCTTCAGTAATGTGTGCAGCACTGTGGCGATCGCATCCTCGGTTGACCGGTTCTCCCTGTATGCAAACTGGTGCGAGTCCAGGGATGGTGGAAAAGCAGCTCTGATGTGTTTAATGACCAGTCTCTCCAGGCATTTGGCGGGAATGGGGGTGAGTGCCACAGGTCTGAAATCGTTCAGACATGTGACATTTGACTGTTTTGGGATGGGAACGATGGTTGCTGCTTTGAAACAGGATGGTACCAGTGAACAGGACAACGAGGTGTTATATATAGAGGTGAAGACGTCCGCCAGGTCCGCAGCACAGTCTTTTAGCACCCGGCCCAGCACTCCATCTGGCCCGGCCGCCTTCCTGGTGTTAATGCTCCGGAACACACGCCTCAGCTCATGAGTGCTCAGGACTGGAGCAGGATCGGTTGAGGGGAGAGGGGACAGGACAGGGTCGGTGTTCTCCCTATCAAAACGGGCATAAAAGAGATTTAGATCCTCAGCCAGAGTAGAACTGTCGGCTGAGGGTGATGGTGTTCTCCTTTTGTAGTCCGTGATAGCCCTGATGCCCTCCCAGACCTGCCTTGGGTTTGTGTTGTTCTCAAACCTGGCCTCGATACGCCTCCTGTGCTGCTGCTTGGCAGTCTTGATGCCTCTTCTCAGGTTGGCCCTGGCAGCACTGTATGCCTCCTGGTCCCCGGATTTGAAAGCGTTGTTCCTTGTTCGAATAAGTTGTTGAACTCCGTGTGTCATCCAGGGTGGATTATTAGGGAACACACGGAATCGTTTCCAAGTTGTTACATTGTCCACACAGAAACAGATGTAGTCCAAGACAGTGGAGGTGTAACTGTCCAATGCGACACGATTGTCAGTGTCCTGCACCTTGAATACATCCCAGTCTGTGCAGTGGAAACAGTCCTGAAGCATCGGAATAGCATCCTGCGGCCATGTTCTCACGGTTTTGGTTGTAATCCCAGTGCTCTTGATCTTTTGTGTGTATATTGGGTGTAGCAGAAGGGAGAGATGGTCTGACAGACCCAGGTGGGGATAAGCCTGGGCTCTGTATGCATTCGCCATGTTGGTGTACACCTGGTCCAACGTTCTATCTCCTCTGGTAGCACACTTCACATTACGGTGGAAATTGTGAAGTACAGATTTCAGGTCCGCGTGGTTAAAATCCCCAGCCGCAATAAAGACACTGTCCGGGTGTGCTACCAGGCTGTTATTGATGCTGCTGCTCAATTGTGCTAACGCTAGCTTAGCATTAGCATCTGGTGGAATGTAAACAGCGCAGATGTAAACGGCAGAAAATTCCCGAGGGAGATAGAATGGACGGCACTTTAACACCAACAGTTCTACCTCTGTACTGCACAGTCTTTCCGTTACCGTGACGTTCGTGCACCAAAAGTTGTTAATATAGATGCACAGCCCCCCGCCAGTCTTCTTACCCGAGTCCGCAGACCTGTCGGCTCGATAGGCGGTGCGGCCTGCTAGATCAATAGCCGCATCGGGAATGGCGCTGTCCAGCCAGGTTTCAGTGAAAATCATGCACGAACAGTTATTAAAAGTCCGTCGAGTGGCGATCTGCAGTCGTATTTCATCCAGTTTGTAACGGATTGAACGGGCGTTGGAGAGGAATATGATCGGGAGTGGTGGTTTAAACGGACTAGTCTTTAGCCGTGCCCACAGGCCTCCCCGCCTGCCTCTCTTCTGCCTCCGCTCGCAACGTCTCCTCCTGCGGCTTGCTGTTGCGGGTAGCCCCGGGGGTTGCTTAACGATCTCCGGGGGGATGAGATACTCGGATGTTAGTTGAAGATCTCCACGGCTTAGTTGTAGTAGATCATCTCTGTTGTATTGAAGTAACCCCAGACTATGTGAAATAATACCCAATACCACCAAAAGTGCAAAAATGTAGGAGCCCCGGGCCGCTGCGTCTGTGCGCGCCGCCAGTCTGCCTGTCGCTGCACCCGTACTAGCTCCTCGGGTGGGGACAGCAGCGGCCCAGCCGTTGACGGTGCCTGTCCCGGCTCCCAAGGTGAGGATGACCGGGAACCAGTTAGCTCCACCACCCGTACCTGCACCTGTTTCTGACCTCGCTGGAGGCTCAGGTGAGCCCGTCCAGCAGTTATCTTCAGGTTCTGGAGGCTCAGGGGAACGAGCTCAGCTTACTGCTAATCCACCACCTTACCCACCATTACTACCATCTTTACAACAGTCAATACATCTTAAACTTCTCCCCATAGCTCAGACTTTAGCTCACCTATCAGCTCAGTCACCTGCTCAGTTCTCACCTCAGTTGTTTACTCAGCTACCTGTTCCGGCTGGAGGGTCCAAGGAACCGCTTCAGCCGCCTGTTCCCACTGGAGGGTCCGAGGGGCCCGTCCAGCAACCTGCGGCTCCCACGCCGTCGCCGGCAGCGCCACCCTCGTCTGGTCCAGCCTCCAAGTCTTCACCCTCGTCCGGTCCAGCCTCCGAGTCTTCACCCTCGTCTGATCCAGCCTCCGTGTCTTCAGCTTCACCTGGTCCAGCTTCAGCCTCTGCGTCGCCTGGTCCAGCCTCCGTGTCTTCGCCTTCAGTGTCGCCTGGTCCTGTCTCACTCTGCCTAGCTTCGTCTGCGCCTGAGGTCTCCATGCCGTCTGGTCCTGCACGTCCTGTCCGTCCTGCACGTCCTGTCCAGCCTGCTCGTCCTGCACGTCCTGTCTGGCCTGCTCATCGTGCACGTCCTGTCCGGCCACTTTCCAGGCCGATGACTGGATGTCATTGCCATCATGGACGGCCCCCTGAACTACGTCGCCGCTGGTGCCTCCCTCCCGGCCGGCCTCCTGACCTGCTCCGTCCCCCGTGCCTCCCGCCTGCCCGGCCACCTGAACTGTTTTCTGGGCTCTTGGGCCGTCAGCCTCCAGGCCGCCCCCCTGAACTTTGGGTGAACTGTTTTTCCTGGCCGCCTGCGCCTGTCGTGAGCCTGTTTTTGTTCTGCTGCTTTCCAGTGTTTGCAACTTTTTTTGTTTCTGGCTCCTCCATCCTGTTTCCCCCACCACCCACCCTGGTTGGGTTGTTTTTAGTTTTGTTGTTCAGGTTTTGACTGTCTGGCAGCCAGCCCTTTGGGTTTATTGTATTATTTATCATTTCTATTCTTTGGTTTCTTCATTAGAGTCATGTCTTATGGTTTGTCTCTGTGTAATCCTTAGTTGCTCCCCGTGTCCAGTCAGTGTCTGCCCTGGTCCCACGTCTCTGTTCCCTCTGTTACAGTGCGTGCGAGTCTGTGTCTTTAGTTCAGTCTGTGTATGTTTCCTGTTTTACTTTGAAAGTCCATGTCTGATGTTAATGTGTCTGGTTTTGCTTCCCCTTGTCTCGTTAGGCCTGATTTGCCCCAGCTGTGTTTCCCTCCTGTTACCCATTCCCTGATTGCTCCCTCTGTGTATTTAAGCCCTGTGTTTCTCTGTGTCGCGATCTACTGTTTATCTAGCTGTGTGTTCTGTCAGTCTTCCGGTGTAAGTTTATTTTGATATGTCCAGTTATTTTACATTTGAGTTTAACATTAAAGCTGTTTTGAGTTCAAGTTTTGCCTCCGAGTGTCTGCACCTTGGGTCCTATTCCTGCCTGCACACAGCCGGTCATAACAGATTTAACAGTCTAGCAGCTCGATGTTTTTAGGGATTTCAGTTGCTTGAAGAAATTTCCTGAAATGTTAATATGATTAAGAAAATAACCCTAAATATTTCCTTTTTCTTTTAGCAATTGTGTATTTTTCTTAGTCTTAACACTAGCACAGACTGAAGGGCAAGTCCAAACATACACTGGCAAGAGATGCCCAGAAGTCACTCGTTTTGGCATTCTTGAAATAGAAGTCTTTCAAATATTTCTGTTGAAAGAGAAAAAGACTTGATTACTCAGCTGCTGGGAGATTTGAAATTATAATTAATGTTAATCAAAAGAGCAACATCAATTTTTTAAATACTAAAAGAGCTGTGAGTCTATGACTTACTCGACAACCATCTCTGAACTCGTCTCTGCCCATCCAGTCCTCCAGCATCCTGAGAATAGATGCTCCCTGGAAAAAAGTTGAACAATTTTCATTACAAGGTAAATGGACTGTGTTAAATCCTCCCAATTCTTTTGATCTTTGGGCTGAAGGAAGAACAATACTCGGTGTATAAATGCTCAATCAACAATCCTTTATTCCATACAATTCAACACTTTAAGAGCACAAACCATCCGGATGGGGAGACAGCAAATCTCAAAAGGGTGGAGCGTTACTCAAACCTTTATAGCCTCTGTTGACCCCCACCTAGTCGTAAAAGCCTAAAGATACATACCCTCTAACTCTCAGTGAGCCTGACCTTGGCTCCCTGTTTATCTGCTTCCAACGAGGGGGTGAAGCTCCTGTGGAATGTGCTCTCTGCACACAGTATTCTCTTCTTAACACAGCAGTATGAAATGTCATGGAACAGTAACTCATTCACAGTAAATCAATATAGGTTAATACAAACCTGTCTAATGATTTTCACATTCTTTTGTCATTCAGAAGCATAATGCAAACTAGAACTACGGCTACATACTAATTATACTCTATAATAAGAAGTATGGTGTGGCTTACAGCAGTATAATAATTCACGCATTTCGATTATAGGCATAGGATAACATGATAAAATAATCTCACAACTGATATCCATAGAGCAATTTTAATGTATTGTTGACAACTCACAGGACTTTTATAGTGCAATCTACATCCACCCATTCAAATATAATATCCAGTATTTATTCTGTTCATCTTAAGTGCTTAATCTGTCACACACAGTCACGAGTGATACATGTTGGATCTTGTTTGCATGTAGTGTAACAGTATGGTTAACTTTTATTGTCTGAGTGCTTACAGAGAGATCTCATACCTTGCTGTATGAGATGGCATCAAACACAGAGGTGATTTCAGCTGGGGTTGACACATCTACAATGATCGGATGAGAGGACAGCAGAGCGTCATCCACCATGACAGGAAGCACATCACTGATGATCATGATGTCTCGCTGTAAGACCACAGCAACACAGGTAGAACTTCCAGGTGACTGGCAGTAATAGCTCGGTGGATCTTTAATGTGCCTTTAAAGGAGAACTCACCATGCCCCAGGTTGGTTCTGCTAATTCCACTCCGATGTACTCAAAGAAGCTGGCAAAGCCCTCATTGAGCCACAGGTCATCCCACCAATCCATAGTTACAATATTTCCAAACCACTGAAAAAATACAACTGACATGAGTTTCAAGAGTCCACACAAAATAAGAAATTGCAAAAGCACACAAAACAAATACGGAAATAGGAAAAACGAATTTCCATTTTCTTTTTTCCTATTTCTGTTGTGTTTTGTGTGCTTTTGCAGCGTTTTTCTTATTGCTGGTGTTTTCTTAAGTCTCAGTCTGTTTGGCCTCTCAGGGCCACCATAAACTCTCTCTACATTGTTATAAGTGTGCCACAAAACCAACCAATCACAGACTAGGATGCAAAAATTCTGATTGGCTGTTACGGCTACAGCTGTAGCTAAATCCAGTGGAGTGGTTTGGTTTAAACTGTGGTGGACCACTGGAGGGCTCCACTTCCCCAGTGGACAGGAAATGGTTGCTGTGTTTTGGAGCGCAAAGTATTCAGTTGTGTGGTGATAGTGAATAAACCAGGAGTGATAATTGAGAGATCTCATGTCGTCTGTGTTTATCTCCACAAAACTAGATTAAAACCAACACTGGTCTTAAAAAATAATATATTTCAAAATAAAATAATTAAACATACTAACTGCAGTAGCAGTAGGAATGCAGTAGCTAGCGAGTTGATTGGAGACCGTAACAGCCAATCAGAAGTTTTGCATCCAAGTCTGTGATTGGTTGTTTTTGTGGCACACTTATAACGGTGTACAGAGAGTTGAGCGTGCAGGGAGCAGAGATGCTGAGAGCAGGTCTGTAGATGTCTGTGAGCACACAGAGCAAATGCCAACAACTGAGCGAGACGGGCTGTTACTGTGTGTGCATATGGATGATAGCAAACACTGAAATACATTTCTTGTTCGCAGAAATGAATTTTATTCGCTCAAATTAAACTTTTCTTCACTCAAAATAATTTTCTCCTCAAAATGCAACATTTGCCCTTGCATTTTTTTAACGTGTGCTCAGAATAGAAGCACAAAAATAACACCATATAAAGCTAATGCAGACCGGTGAATAAAAAGTGGTGCACAGTTGTCTTCAGTATTCCAACACAGCAGTGCACTACCCTGTAAAAGCTTTATTGCTCAAAACATGTAAGAAGAGGCTTTTGTAAACATCAACTTAACTGCAATTTTAAATGAAAAACTCATCCATTCCTGTCAAATATCTGATATGTTGCAATGAATCATGTACATCATGCAAAAGGTTGAAGAACATATAAAGAATTTTTCAATTATACCTCTGGATTCTCAAATGAGTCTTTGCGCTTGCAACTGCTGAATTGTGACATACTGTAGAGGCCTGAACTAACCAAAGACCAAGTCACAATCAAAGTAAACAAGTAAAAATGGTCAACAGACTGGCACTTTTGTACTTTACTTAAGTTCTTTATACTACATGCCTCATTCAGCCATTCATAAAAACACTTTTTTCTATCCTTTATATTTAACATTTCCGTTCTGATGAATGCATCGGAAAGCAACTTAGGGTTCCTTATCTTGCCCAAGGATCAGATTGAAGCAGCCAGTCTGAACAACCTTTAAATTAGCAGATGAGCTGCTCTACCTCTACCCCGACGCTTACAGAAACTGGTATTCCCAGTTTTCTGTCATCCAAGAAAACTTGGTTCAAACAAGAGTGGCTCCATGATGGAGCTACTGTTTTATGCTTGTTCCTCTTAGCCGCATAAAATTTAAATTAGGATGAATGACTAGTGATGTTTAATACTGATGTTATAGAACTCTACCAAAACCACCCAAACTCTATCAAAACAGTCTAAAAATTCAAACAATGTTTGCCATAGAAGAAGAAAAAGACACATGATCCGCTCTGTTATTAACCATAAGATGAAATCCCCGCTGAGCGGGCTGAGCTTGCCCTACAGAGCTTCACTATGTTAGTTTATGACCCAAATTAATGTTGGACTCTGTCGTTTTCTCTGGTCCCCTTCCCAGTTCCCCTTCACTCTTTACCAAGAGTGAGATTCTAGTCACACATTCTCCTTAATTTCTTGCTCAGTAAAACTGACTTGAATTAAACTGAATTGTATCATAAAGTTGGCGTTTCAGTGGTACGTAATTCATTCTAAAATGTTTCTTTTAGTCACTACATTCAAGCACAAAATATAAAGTATGCAATTTAGCAAAGTGGAAGAAAACATTTTCAGGAAAAAGGTTTATTTCTCTATAAAATCAAAATATATCAAAACATTACCTGGTGAACCAGTTCATGTGCGATGACACTGGCAACTCGCTGCTTGTTGTAAGAGGATGACTGGTTTTCATCATAAAGCAAGTTGGTTTCCCTGTAGGTGATAAGACCCCAGTTCTCCATGGCACCAGTACCAAAGTCAGGAATGGCTATCTTATCTGGATCCAAACAAAAGAGAGGTACAAATCACCACACACACACACATACATGATTACCTCCGATGACCACTGGGACCACTGTTACCTTCACCTTCCATGTCTTCTCCAGCTTCTCGTGTTCCTCTTTCCTGATGTTGCTGTCATCACTGCGTCTATCTAGGGGCAGGGATAGCTCAGTAGGTAGAGTGGTGGCCCCGTGATCGGAAGGTTGGGGGTTTGAATCCACTGAACGGCTACCCTGCGGTACCCAATGGCTGCCCACTGCTTCACTGAGTGCATGGGTTAAATGCAGAGAGGAATTTCCCCACAGGGATCAATAAAGTATAAAGTAAGTATATGACTACGCCCGTCTTCTTCTGTTTGTCTACCACCACTATGTCCGGTTGGTTAGCCACCACCATTTTGTCCGTCTGTATCTGGAAGTCCCACAGGATCTTAGCTCGGTCATTCTCCACCACCCTTGGGGGCGTCTCCCATTTTGACCTCGGGACTTCCAGGTTATACTCGGCACAGATGTTCCTGTACACTATGCCGGCCACTTGGTTATGGCGTTCCATGTATGCCCTGCCTGCTAGCATCTTGCACCCTGCTGTGATGTGCTGGATTGTCTCAGGGGCATCTTTACACAGCCTGCACCTGGGGTCTTGCCTGGTGTGATAGACCCCAGCCTCTATGGATCTTGTGCTCAGAGCTTGTTCTTGTGCTGCCATGATTAGAGAAATCGAGAAATCCTACCAGTGGCTGGACAAAGCTGGACTGAAAGACAGCACAGAAGCACTAATCATGGCAGCACAGGAACAAGCTCTGAGTACAAGATCCATAGAGGCTGGGGTCTATCACACTAGGAAAGACATAGTAGTATACGTAGTATACAGAAACATCTGTGCCGAGTATGGACTGGAAGTCCTGAGGTCAAAACGCTAGACGCCCCCAAGGGTGGTGGAGAATGACCGAGCTAAGATCCTGTGGGACTTCCAGATACAGACGGACAAAATGGTGGTGGCTAACCAACCGGACATAGTGGTGGTAGACAAACAGAAGAAGACGGTCGTAGTGATAGACGTAGCAATACCGAATGACAGCAACATCAGGAAGAAGGAACACGAGAAGCTACAGAAATACCAAGGGCTCAGAGAAGAACTCGAGAGGATGTGGAGGGTGAAGGTAACGGTGGTCCCCGTGGTAATCGGAGCACTAGGTGCGGTGACTCCCAAGCTAGGCGAGTGGCCCCAGCAGATCCCAGGAGCAACATCCGAGATGTTATAAAAAACCAGCAGGGGCGAGAGGGGGATTTGTATTAAAAAAAACAAAAAAACACAGAGAGACAGAGTTAAAACAAATTTAAAAAAATCTCCCTCTCTCCCACTGGAGGCAGGTATGTGTGTGTTTTTCCTCAAACTCTGACCTCTGTATGCCCCATATTTCATCCTGGATTGTGGCTTTCATGCTCACTAATTCTCACCCTTCCTCTTTCCACACGGAGCCTTGGGGTGTTAAGCTTCAAGTGGGACCCTCTGTGCACTGTAGGGCGTTTTCATGTCTTGCCATCAGTGGCATCTATCTCCTCCTGTTGTCATATTATTATTCCAGCTGAGTTTCTGATAAAAGTCTCACAGCTCTGGCCAGTAGGCTAAAGAGATACAGCAAGGAAACATTGGCCAACAGAATAAATTGCCTGTTCTCCAAAGATCCATCCAAGGTATACTCTCAACTACAAGGGAAGAATGTTATGAGGGCTGACTCACACAGAGCTCAAACAGAACAATTCTGTAAGAATATCCCCGAAAACAGACGGCAACACACGACACCAACACCAAGTGGCTAGTGGACAGAAGACCACAACAACCTCCCAGAACAAGAACCAGTCAACATCACAAAGACAGACATCTAACGCCTTAAAGTCTGTGCTCTCTCTGCTGTTGTGTTGGTGTGTGTCGGGCTGTGAGCTGAAAAGCTACAGCCGGCGGTATGTGTACAACAACCGTGTGTGAAAAGTGGCCTATAAAGAAATATTGTCATGCAAACATCGTCGGGTCTGCCGTGATATGTTTACATTGGGACTTCTGCTCCTGAACCTCTGCGCACAGCGTCTGCAGGTCGGGGCTGTACGAAGTAAATGGTAAATGGCCTGTATTTGTATAGCGCTTTACTAGTCCCTAAGGACCCCAAAGCGCTTTACATATCCAGTCATCCACCCATTCACACACACAAGTTGAAGTCACTTTCAACTTTACGCAGGACTGTAAGCTGTCGTCTGTGAGGCGTGAGCGTGTTTGTTTTAACATAGTTCATAGTGGAGAACAGCCGCTGACATAATGTGGATCCGAAGATCTATAATTGACCTACCTGGGGTTGAAAGTCTCGATAAATGCACGCCGTTTCGGCGGCTATACCGGCTTCCGCGAGAGTGACGCTTATTTTGAGCGATGAAAAAATAATAGAATATAATTTTATTTTTTATATTTCAATATCACAATAATCTAACAATTTAGAACTACAAGTTAAAAAAGAACTAATATAAATAAAATACACTTCAGCTAATTACTTCTAATTTATTTTCCCAAACCACGCGGAGCCGCACTATAAGGACTGAAGAGCCGCAGGTTGCCGACCCCTGGGTTAGTTGGTTTCAGAGAAAGAAAAGAAAGCTGCTAGCATGACCCAGCTACTGACCTGACCCGAATCCAAGTAAAAATCTGTGGAATGAACTAAATCTCAGAGTACATAGACGGTGGAACCTTCAGGATTTGAAAACTGTTTGTGTGAATGAATAGGACAAAATTACATCTGAGCAATGCATGCAGCTAGTTTCTCCATATACGAGGTGTCTTGAAGCCATCATCATCAACAAAAGTTATTAAATTAAGTAATAAATTCATTTCAATGCTTTTTCCTAGTGTCGTTTCTCTTTATCATACTTTATTTGTGAACATCTATGGCTTGATTTCTTTGTCTAGATTGGATGGGTTTTTACGGACTGGTGAGAATTTCACATTAATAGCACCTTTAGAAATATATTTTCTTATAACACTAGTGACATGTTCAATCCTTATTTTACTCACTGTATACAAGTACCTAGGTATTCCACAGGTCAACAGGAACCATGATAAAAAGGCACGAAGGTCAATAACAGCCAAATAATGCAAGAAGGGAGCTGAGAAGCCAGAACAGTATTGATAAGATCCAAACCATCAATACATACAGCCTATCAGTCATTAGATACCCAGATGGAATAATAAGCATCTGCCAATCATGTCAAGACATCATGGGTTTACACTATCGAGGGACAGAGGAAGAGGATGGAATCATAAGGACAGCACTCAGCCTCTGGTCATGGCAGCATAAGAACAGGCCCCAAGCACCAAATCCATGTGGGAGGATATATCCAAAGTGGTCCCGGGATTATTAGGAGCTGTAACCCCTGCACTGGAAGAGTTATTGCAGCAGATTCTAAGCACATATCACAGGTCTCTGCCCAGAAGAGTGCGGTCCAAGAAATACCTAAGTGATATGCAGAACCCTCAAACTTCCCAGCCCGTCAGCGGTCCCGAGCTTTAGGCTAACACACATACCACCCGCCTTGGGATCAGAGGCAGATTTTTTTGTTGTTGTTTTTTGTTTCATATCACAGAAGTTGGTTAGTGTTCCATTTACCCAATTTTGAGATGGAGTATGTCATGTTGAAATATTCCTCAAAATAGTCAAAAATGAGCTTGGTTACATTTACTGCATACAAAGCTGTGCTGATCTGACTTGGCTGGGCCCAGATTTTCAACTGCAAAAGAATGAAAAATACAAAAAAGTGTGTGACAGTATAAATCCAACAGTGTGAATTAATGAATCTTATCAATACTCTGCAATAGTAGCATATAAATGTAAACTCACGGGAATTCCTCTGGCTGAAGTTCTCTCTACATAGGCAAACTGGTGCACAGCAAAACATACCAAATAGGTGCTCATTGGAACAGACTTCTGAAAGGTGGTTTTGATTTTATTGCCTAGTAGTTGCTGAGGGGAGCCCTGGAGATAGACAGCAAAAATTTATTTGGATTTTCTGCCCTATTATCACAAGAAGAGCACCATCTCAACAGTTGTGCTTTGAGATGAGATCGTCCTGTTGCAGGAACTGATAAACATGACCTTGACTGTGTAACTGTCATCTGTGACAGGTGTACATACCATTACAAAGAATAAGGTTTACACTACACTCAGTTGGATGGTAAAAAATGTCACTCACCACCACACCAACTGAATTTTTTTATAACATGCTAAGATAGACGATGTTATGCTAATGGGTGCAAAGGATGAAAATGCATGAAGACACAGCTAGCTTAAGTGAGAGGATTTTCTTGCTTCCTCCCTATTAAACAACTGGCATGCAAAGTGCCTAACACCAAAACAGTTGTTGACCTTGAAAATACTAAAATGCATAGAAATCTACTGGAAAATTGGTAAATATCATTTAAAACATTATAAGGTTTAAAAATGTATCAAATTACAGTAAATCATTGCGACTTTTTTAAAAATCAGTTTTCCTCTGTTCATGCTTGACTACTAATGAACTCTACAGTTAGGGCCAGAGCTGTCTCTATTTCACAAGGCAGCTGAGGTCTTTCAACATCTGTTGGACAATGCTTAGGATTTTCTATGAGTCATTTGTGGCGAGTGTGGATGCTGTTGCATGCTGGGACAACATCCATCAGGCTGATATTGTCCAAGATAAATATAACGCTGGACAACAACCCCCAACATTTCCATGATGTGCCAGCCAATCACAGGAGCGCGTTCAGTGAAACTGAGATTACCTAAATTCACCACTGACTGTTTTGCATTTTCAGGCATGTATACTTTTTCTACAACTTTTACTCACTGTACTTTTACACAAATACCAATTGTTTCCAATTTAAATACAGCACATAAAGTCTATTGTGATGGTAAACACACATGCTGACTTACCTCTACTGGCATGTTGGACAGTACGTTGTAATTAACATCATGAGTTATTGAGATGGTGTAGGTGGCTTTCTTGTTAGGTTCATCAAAACAGGGAAAAGACTTGCGGGCATCTGTTGGCTCGTGATCCGTAGCTGCAATCTTTCTGGTGTTCAAATCGAGGACAGATTATTGGAAAATGTAACTTTATTATTGGAGATTGTTTGAAACCAAATGTTCTACAATCTTTTTCAGCAAATTTTACTTTGAAAACTAATAATATGTGACAATTTAAACTAGAGAGTTAAGTTTAGAACAGTCATATTTGATTAATAACATCTTTCAGTTATTTTGTTCAGTTAGTTCTATACAAGCTAATGAAAACAAAAGTACCAGATGCCAATCCCAGCAGTACCAGGAGACTACAGGGGTTTTCCATTTAAAGTAGGACGCATAACCAAAACGTACATCTGTTTAAATCCCACATAATGTAGTGACTCTGAAGAAGTAAAGACCAAATAGCTGGTGAATTATAAAAAGTCTTCTATTGATAGTTTTTACCTTTTTTTAAATATTTAAGCCACGTTACAGTCTTCAGAGTAACGTGTTGATTGGTCAATATATAATATAATATTGTTGGATTTTATCTGCATAAAATAATATTTTGCGTGAAAATCAATCTAGCTCAATAAAATATGTCATAGAACAAAATGACCTGGACCTCTTTAGTGTAGAAATTCCATCAAAGAAGGAGCTCAGCTACATAAGAAATACAAGTAAAGTCATCAGTAAATATGTATGTAAAGTGAAATATGATAGGATGACTAGACTAAGTCTAAAATGATGTTCTGGTATACAGTGGTAAAGATATTCTGTATCTGTTCTTGTGATAGCAAATCTGAAACAGATGTCAGAGCAAGTTTTCAGCTCCATGTCCAATGAGTGATGCAGAGGGCAGGATCCATTAATTATCCACATCCACTGACCACAGCCGCAGTCATGTGGACGATATCTGTGTTGCTTAAGGATCCAGGAAAGAAACAGTTAGTAGAAGACTTGCTGTTCCTCCTGAGCCACAACCAACGACTCTGGTTTTTATCCAAGATAAAACCAGATAACACCAATTTTTACAACCATCATAAACCTGCTCTTGGTTGCTTCTCAGAAGACAAGTTTTACACAAAATATTACTCAATAATTAGTGTTCATTCTTAGCGGAACTTATTTTATTCCAACATTTCAACATTTGCAACTTATGAACTATTGCATAGAATGTCCACAGTTATTTAACACCTATTAATACCTCCAGAAAAGACTGTAAGGCGACTCTGAATTTTCTTGAAAGATGCAACTATTTCATATGTCTTATGCCTTCTTGCTCTGTTCTTTTCTAATTCTTGATTAATAAAGATGTTTGTGTATGTTTGTGACAGAACTGAATCACATGACTTACTTGGTGATTCCATTCTCCATGTAGGTAACTCTGTAGAATCCCACCAAAGAGCCATTGAGCCAACCCTGGAAGTCTAGACTGAGGGTGTATACCTCCCCTGTGTCCAGGACAGGCAGCTCCTCTGTGGCCTCCACCACCACATACTGCTGAGCTTTGTATTCAAAGCAGCTTTTCACTGCCACTTCCCTCTGTCCTCCTTGGCTACTCAGCACCTTCAACCTTGGCAAGGTACTGACAAATGTCTCCCTGATGTGGAGCCAGAGATGACGGGTGGGCTTGGTTACTTCAAGCTGGATATCAACAGTGCCTGTGTAGGTGTCATCCTCTAAGTTCGGCTCCAGGTGCAGATTGTAGTGGACGGGATTCACATAGTCAGGTAAGCGGAAATTCCTCCAGTCCCCACTGGAGTCAGTGGAAGGCAGGCAGGGCCCTCTGCCAGGTGAAGGGGGCTGGGTAGGCCCCGCTGTGGGGGCTGGTGTGGTGGTGGCAGCAGGAGTGGTGTTGTTTGATCGCGAGAGACCCACCCCGAGGCCCACTGCCAAACAGCACAACACCACTGTTATGCAGATGATGACTGCATGCTTGCGTCGAATAAAGTAACGCTTCTCTGGCTTCTCCATGTTCAAGCTGTCAACCATGGTAACTCCCAAAATGAAAAGTCCACCTGACAAAACAAAAAACAAAACAAAACACAGCTTTCTAAAGGTAAAGTGTTTAGCTGACCAGAGGTCAGAGCTGCAGGCTTTGGCTGCTGAATTAGCTGTGTGAACTGAATCAAGGCTTGCCTCTGTGGTGCTGAGGGGTGGAGAGAAAAATGAGAAGTGAAGAGTATCAATCTTTCAGACGGCCAGAAATCGGAAGGATTTAATCTGTCCTTTGAGCTTTCAGCACACCTCCTGTTAAACATCTACAATCTCCCTGTAAATCAGCAGCTAAAGTTCTTTTTTTATCAACTATGCTAAGCTGCAAAACTGAACGTGTTGTTCTCACGTGAAACTAAACAATACACATGATGCCTACATGTGAACCACTGTGCATGTCAAAGTGTTGTCTGGTATGAATTTGAAGCATCAGAGTCAAATTTCAAAGCGGCTTCAGCGCAGCACAATCTGTCTTCTTACAGTGCACACACTGCAGAAACACTCTATGATCTGGACATGAGTCAGCATGTGGTCTTTGGTCAAAACAGTGATTGCAACAGAGACGTATGTGAAGCCAAAACAATGGTTTTATTGAACTGAGCCACGGTAGAATTTCCACAAATATTCTTCCCCTGCTCAGTTCTGTGAACTCTGGAAAAGACATTACTGAAATATCAATTTCTATCATTTCTGTCCACAGAGATGATGTTTTGACTGGAAAACTAATCACGGTGTAGAATTTTCGTTGAAATCAACTACAACTAAGTCTAGGATATGTAAGGGTGTTCATGCACAAATTCCTAATATTAGGAACACACCCAGAGAAATACCCAGTACAAAGTGTGCACTGGAACTACAGTAAGTGTTACGTTTGTTTGTTATAGTTTGTAGTATATAGTACTATAGTTTATAGTGGTAGTAGATAGACATTTTGAAGTGGGGAGTTGTCCATTCACACACACACACAAATCTGGTAGGCTGAATAGCCTCAACCAATGTGTCTTTTGGAAAGTAAAAACTTACAAATACTTCCTGTATTTGCTGTACTTAAGTAGAAATTTCAGGTATCTGTGCTTTACTTGAGTATTTATTTTTCTAGCAACTTTACTTTTACTCCCTCCATCTTTACACAAATATCCGTACTTTCTGCTTCTTACATGTTGAAAGCAGGCTAGTTATTTTAGGTTCAACAGTATCATCCATAGTGTTTATACTCAGGGGTTGAAGTGGGTCGGAAGGAGAGCAGGTGTCTGTCTTCTATAGCTACCTCTATAGAAGAGGAGCGAGTATGAACTGAGTTTTATATTTAGGGTTTCTATCACTTTAAGAGAGTTAACTTCACTCAGAGATCAGGAGAAAGATAAAGACAGGACCGGAGAGGAAGAAGAGCGGTTAGATTTAAAGTGATGTTTGATAAACTGCTCATTTAAAGCTTACATGCGATGTCATTATTGGATTTCATATTGTGAAACATCCTGCTAAACTTTGTCTTATTCAAATGTCACATGAAAATACCGTGTAGTTTTATACTGGGCAGTAAAAAAAGTTGCTTCATTACTGCAACTTTTACTGGACGAGTTTTTAACCTGTGTTTCTACTTAAGTAAAGAAAGTCTCTACTTTCTCTGGTCTTTTGATTATGTATTTCATGACCTTCCAAAACCTCCCATAGGTGACTTCAGTGAGCACTTGTGATCTTTGTGAAAGCATGTACTTATTATATTTATGTAAGTGTTTTATAGAAGGTGTTGACACCAGGACATTATGTAGTAAGTTTTGTTTCTACTGTAGTTAAAGTGTAAAAAAAACGTTTAACCAACAGCTCATGTGACAGTGAGCATTTTGTGGATTTATTGGCCCTGTTATATCACACAGATAAGACAGTCGTAAATGTAATGGCTCCCTTATCCTTGAACTGTGCATAGGATCCGCATAAGAGACAACAATCACTGTCACTCAAAATTTTAATCACCCGTCTAAAGTCATGATTCTTTCATGACGTTTATGAGACGCCATGAACCTTTTGTGTGTCTTATTTTTCACAGACATAAATCTGTTGGGCTCAGGTACAGCATGTTTTACCATGACCCTCACCAGGATTACCACAATGAGCTTATAGTGCAGACAGTGAGGTAAAAGGTGTGATATGGAGCTGCATGAGTGAAGAAGGCTGAGAGAGATTAGATTAAAATGCTTCAGTGGGTGGCTGTTGATACACTGTACAGGTACAGGCTGACGCCATGATTGCCAGTCATCAATACAATAATAAGCATACTGCCAAAATGACAACATGGTTTCTGATGATGAAAGCTCAAAACAAGAGTCAATAGCAGAATAAGGTGTTTGACACTGCAGGGAAGCTTTGTGAAGTGTTTGATGGGTGCATCCCACAAACTCTGCTGCTCAACTCACAAATGCATTTTCCTTATAGATGTGGCACCATTTAAAGGGAATAAACAGGCTTTTCACCTGTATAAGATTTATTGCCAAGAACACAAACAGGCACAGTTTGAAATTTGAACTGAATAAAACTTTCTTTCACAAAAATGCAGACTGCATCACAGAAACAACACGCACATTTTTGTCTTATGTTTTTATTCAGCGAGTAATTCACATTAACTGCTGCAACACTAGAGCTTTAACAAACAGTAACGTTTATTTCCTTTATTTTCCCACCGCCATGACCGCCGCTCTGTAACAAACACTGAGAAACTTCAGCAACAGTAAATCAAATTACAATGGTCAGGTAGCCACAGACTAGATCTATATCATGTTCCTGTCTCTTTGCATCTGCTGATTTCATTTAGTATTTTCTGACGTGCTCCAAAAAAGTCACGAGGCTTTGAGGTTTCTTGGCCTGGTTACTGGAAAATGGTGTGATACTTGATAGTATCTGATTATCCTTCACTGAGGGGACGTTGGTGATAGCTGAGATCTGGTATGGTTTCCTGTACTTTGATGGGGATTTGGAGGAAATCTTTCTGGACTTCTTTGGAAGATGGGGTAGTTTTGTGATTCCCATGACTTTCAGTTTAATCAGGGCTTCAGAAATTCCTGCCATGTTCCGGGCTTGGCAGCGATATTCACCAGCATCCTTGTATGATAACCCGTTCAGGCTGATAATCGACCAGCGGACCCCCACCCGTGGAGATTCCTGCATAACTGGAACAGAGAGAGTTGTACAATCTTAGCTCTCGGCACCCTACATTTAGCTTTTTGCTTTTAACTTAAAAGAGTACCTTACAAAGGAAGTCTTACAGGCCTGGGTACTCCTGAGTCCCTAACAAACCAGAGACCCAAAGAAACTTTGGAGTTACACATTAAAACAAGATGTAGTGAAAAACTTTAGGAATGAGCTTATAAAATCAAAAGTTTCACTTGATTAAAATTTGGCCCATCTCATGTTCAAAATTATTTTCTCATGCACCTCTGGGCTGTTTTCATTGTGCATTCCATGTGTAGCTCTCTCAATGGAAGTCCTGTTCTGGGTGCTTGCACTTGTGCTTCTGTGATGGATGAGTGGTGAGTAAGAAAATATTATGTCTGTGTGGCCAAAGTCTCCTGTACTTCTGATGCAGTCAATCCAGCTCACAATAGCCACATAGCTCAGCTCATTTCTAGTGAATATTCTCTTGCAAGTGCCTCCGAGGGTTACAACAGAGCCCAATCCTGTGAATCTGATCCAACTTTAGCTTTAGAAAACAGGAATTTTTCATTGTAGCCTGCTTGTTATGCTGTCGTATAGTATTTTATTGTTTATTTTATAGTTTATAACCTAGAAGCATAAGTTAAGGGAAAGACATTTTGTAATATTTACTTTATGTCTGTTTTTAGTTTTATGGGGAAAAAGATGTCAACCACTGGACTAACAACGAAGTAAAAAGCCCTGAACTTACTTCTGCCTCCAACATTCGTTGAAGTCGTTAGCTGTCAAAGAGTTATGGTAGTCATGTGACTGAACTTATGATAAATCCTGCTGAAGTAAAATAGCATAAACTGCATGAAACATGAAAACTATATTCATATGTGATGGAGTTACTGATAAATCATGTGAAAATACAACATAGAAAAGGAGAAAATGAAATGATGTGATTTTAATGAAGTAACCTCCTCCTTAGTTAAAGTAGGTGAAAACTCAGAGAGAGAGAGAGAGAGAGAGGCTGGACATTGGTTGACTGCATATCAACAATGACTGGAGAGAGAAAGAGAGGGAGGAGGGAGAAGGGGAGAAACTATATAACAACCCCATGCAGACAGAGTAAGTTGTCCTTCCTCTAGTTCTTGCGATGTTCAAGAAACACGGCCTGAAGATCTGGCCCTGGGAGTCCACAGATTAAATTAAACAGTACTTTTCACACTAAGGAGATACTAGTGTCAGGCTGATCCATGCTCCAGTCCAATTCTCCTACCCACATTTCCTTGACCTCAGTGATGTTTTTATTGAAGTCAAGAAAAAGAGGTTAGAAATAGGAGTCGGGAGACAGGGGAGACTTTGAGGCACACCCTCGGGCCAGTCGGAAAGGTGATTGGGGCAGAGAGGAAACATCTGGAAACACAGCTGGAACTCATCAGGAAAGCAAGACAAGAGAAGCAAAACTAAACACAGCGCACCTGAGACCAAAGACTGATAATCTGTGTTTGGACTTTTTTAGCTTTTTCAAAGGATGTAGACTGATGCACTAAGCTAACAAACAAAGAAAAAAACAACACTTACATGTCCAGACATAATCAGTGTTGGTCAAGTTACTTGAAAAAACTAATCAGTAACTAATTACTGATTACTTCCCCCAAAAAAGTAATCCCGTTACTTTACTGATTACTTATTTTCAAAAGTAATTAGTTACTTAGTTACTTTTTAAAAACACGATTTACAACCTGAAGAGGTGATAAAGCGATAGATCTTTCAGCCCAATTCTACTTTTTCTGCATAATCCATCATACAAAATGTAATCAAATGGAAAAGTCTCTTTTTAAAACTTGTTTTATTAGTTTTAATCTTTTAACTTTATGCATCAAGCAAAAATTTAATTATATGCAACATTCTCTGACTGGAAGAAATTAGTTTAACATTTAAACCTATTTTCTGCACATTCCAGCACATAAAATAAAATATTTTTGTGTTTACACTCAGTCTTTCAAATAGATGCAAGTAAAACACAGCAGAAAATAAATAAAGTCAAAGACTCAGCGGTCCTGTTGCTCTATTTTCACCTGTAAAGCAGGAGTGGGGAGGCGGAGGTTTACCCTGGTGCAGGTGTGCCGCGGTCAGTGGAAGAATCCGCGAGTTTCTCTGTGAGTTTCCCATTACGTCGTAGCTACTCGGTGCTTGTTGGAAGTTTAGGGGTTTTTTCGCTGTAAAAAGAAGTTTTCTTCCCACGCACAGCGGACACTCATGTTTTTGTCACTT